TACACTTTTACCAAAATTTGCCTTGGGAAATGTGGTGGCTTAATCATAAAATTGTTGATTTTATGAAACGGAGATAGTACATTATTTTAAAGTTGCAAAAAATATAAACGGAGGAAGTACATTAATATTTATATTAATTAATAACTAATGTACAACGGTACAAGCCCTAAACTAGTTGCTAAGCTAGACTTGTTACACCATTAACAACAATTGTGGAGTACAAATGTACAATCAATCAAACAGGCAATCGTCACTCTTACTAAAAAGGGCAAAACAAAAGAATAAAATGGTTGTGGTGAGCCAAAATACAAAGGCTGCAAACAACACGCTACTGCTGCTTTAGTAAAGAAGAAAATTTTACTACTGCCAGTAAAAAAACACAAAATTGAAATTATTTTTTTTTTAAAAAAACGTACTCGTAATCCGTAATAAAGATGGTGAAAAAGCAAGTGTCCTTTTTTTATGTGATGCAAATCTACATCAGTGTACACCTGAACAAAATGTAGCCAATAAAAAGGTGTCACGTCATGAGTGTGCTTCTAATCTTGTATTATGATTGGTCAAATGGAGCGGTCGTACCAATCTTGACAATGTCGACGTCTGTAATTAATTAACACTACTGTACTGATAACTTCTGCTTTTCCTACCTTTTGACCCGCTTATCTATTTTAACCATTACTTTTTTTAATGATAAACGTAGCACTTACTAAGAAAATAAAAAAAATATGTTAAAAATAAATTAACATTTATTACATCAATATGCGTGTAATTTTTTCATTAATTCCTACCTTAATTCCATTTAAAAAGTATATTTATTGTTTATATATAACCCTAATAACTACATATATTATTACTTTTTTTTTCGTTATTTCTGATTTTCGAGACATATAAGCTAATTTAATATGAAATGTTAATTTTCAATGCTATTTTTTTGTGTATTAAGGGCTTGTAATCTTCACCTTATATTAATATCAGTTTTAATAAGTTCGGATAAATTTAGTTAAGTTTAGATCAGCTACAGTAAGGTGTAATAAGTTTAATAAGGTGTAAGGGTTGTTCTCTTCAGCTTATCTTCAATTCAATCCAGTTCCTAATTTCCTTCTCTCATAAAATATTTAATTCATTTTAGTTCAGCTCCAACCAATTCAGCTCAGTTCAACAAATCAGAATATACCATAATAAATTCAATTTTTTTTTGGTGCGAAAGAGGGGCAAGCACCAAACAAAAGGAAACAAAGTACACTAAACCAAAATGTCTAATAAATTCAATAAGATCTAATCAATTATAATAATAAAATTTAATAAGGTCCAATAAATTTTAATAAGTTCAATCATGTCTAATAAGTTCAATAAGGTATAATAAAGTTCAATAACGTTTGATAAATAATTTAATAAGCTCAGTTGAATTCAGATAAGTTCAACTCCAATAAGGTGAAGATAACACATCCTAAATTCTCCGATTTTTAATATAAACGATTCATTGTTTTTAATACTATTTGTGACATACTAATATTGTGATTTATACAAAAGAAAAGATAGTCATTGAGTATTTGTTGGAATCATCCCAATAAAAAGATTATTAATTTTTACTACAATAATTTATGATTATTCATTTTTAAAAATACATTTATTCAGTGAAATTTATTTCAGTTCAGTTGAAATAATTCCATTTCAGTAAAAATTGGTTCAGTTTACTAGATTTTTGTTTAGTCCAGTAATAATAAAAATTAGTAACTTTAAAGAGGAAATATAATAGAGAATCAATATAAATTATTTCATTTCTCCAAAAATAAGGTGAAGAGAACATGGTCTAAACACTTATTATAAAAACAAAGGGTACTCCTTAAAGATAGTTATGTTTTCCATTTTTGGCATTTCTAATTTTTTTTGGTGTTCCACTCGGTTCACCCTTTGGGCTAATCCGGACTCGAGGATCAGTTTTGGGTGGTTAGGTTCCAGTCCCCTCCCGATTGTTGTTGCGGGGGATCAAACACGAGTCCTCCCTACCAAGTGTAGTCCCAATCACCACTACACCAACAACCAATTAGAATAAATCCCTATTTACTATTGTTGGTCATGTTTCATTCATTTCCTATATTAGAATAAATCTTTTTACTTTATTTTTTCCAAGAAGTGATCAACATTGGCTCGGCCCGCTAGCCCGGCCCGAAAATAGGGCGGGTTTGGGAAAGCATAAAACACATTTTTAGTTAAAACGCCCGAACTCGGCCCGAAAAAGCTCGAAATGCCCGTTTTGGCCCGACAAGCCCGCTACTTTTTAATGGGTTTGGGCACGATAAATTGTATTAAGGACCGGCCCGGCCCGATTTGATTTTATCTATGTCCAATGCAACAATCCCCATTTACGAAATATTTACATATTTCTAAAGCAAATATTCCTATTTTCGACGTTGAGTTAATGTCTTAATATATGATATAAGTAGCATTTAATCATTGCTTTTTATTGTCTAATTATTCTAAATAACTACATAAAATCATCGAACATAACACAATAATCTTTAATTTCAAGAACGTAGGTATGTAATAAAAGTGCCCATTCGATTTTCGGTTTGGATTTAGCCCAAATCCAATCCGATTCAAAATAAATTTTGATTTTCATTTATCAAGTCTAATCCGATCCGAATTCCTAACCAAATGCAATATGATCCAATCCGAATTAAAATTAAGTTATTTGGATTTGATCTGAAAATTCAAATTAAAATACGTTGGAAAATTTTTAGGTCTAGTACAATTATAAAATTAAATATGTAATAATAAAAATTCATTCCTTGAAGTATAATTGTACATGTTTAATATAAGGGGCCGTTTGGTTCGCAAAGGATAAACGGAATGGAATGAAAAAAGGGATTCAAAGAGAATGGAATGAAACTCATTATTCCATATAGCATGTTGTTTGGTTTACAAAAACCAAAGGGAATCACCACCACCATAGCACCACCACCAACACCACCCCCACAACCCCCTTTTCCTTCACTTTCCCACTTCTCCAGCTACCCCACTGCCCAGCCACCATCTTGTCGGCATCCCCCGGAGCTCGTCGCACCTCCACCACCCCTCCCTTCCCCGGAAAACCTCCAACCACTCATAAACCCTAAACCCTTTCTACTCAAAACCCTAAATTCAACAAATACAACAACGATCTATAGATTAACTCCAAAATAACTAAAAAAAAAATGAATGATATAAAAATGAATAAAAAATCAAATCTAAAAGAAAATCCATCATCTCAAACACTTATTTTCGAATTGGCTCATTGGTTTTCCGGGAAAGGAGATACAAACAGGGGTGGTGCGATGAGGGGTGAGAAAGGTGTGAACAAGGGCGGTGTAACTGTGAACAAGGGTGGTGCGACGAGGGGTGAGGGAGGTGCGAACAAGGGCGGTGCGACGAGGGAGGTGCGAACAAGGGCGGTGCGAGGTGCGACGAGGGAGGTGCGAACAAGGGCGGTGCGAGCAGATCGGCGGTCGGCGAGTGGCGGGATAGGGACGGCAAGGTGGCTAGGTGTTGGTTGTGCAGTGGGGGTAGGGTAGAGGGTGGTGGCTGTTGTTGGTAGGGTGGTGTAATGGTGGTTAGGGAAAGGGAATGACAAGGTCTAGGGGGGGTGGGGAATCAATGTAGAGGGATTTTGGGTGAAGTCAAAAATAAAAATGGGTAAAGGGAATGATTAAATGTGACAAACAAACAATAACAAAGGGAATGAGACTTATTCATTCCCTTTCCCTTTGATTATTAACCCCAACCAAACGGCCCCTAAGTATTGAAAACATAGCTTTTGATGATTAATATTAATTAATTATAAACATAGTTTTACATGGTTAATATACATTAACAATACTTATTTATAAAATGACGGTTTCATATTTCAGTTTTTTGGATCCGAAAAAGGGCAATCTGATCCAATCTAAAATTTTGAATCTTCAAAAAAATTCAATCCGATCCAATCCAATCTAAAATTCGGATCCGATCTAAATTATAATTTGGTTTGGATTGGATTGGATTTCAGTTATAATTCAAATAATGACCATTGAAGTCTTAATATTATTAGAGTATTAGATATAGACTGTTTAAGCTAAGGGTTGTTTCAGGCCTCAACCAAACTAAACAGGCCAGGTCGTCGATGAAATGGGAAATCACTACTTGTGTTTGCAGCATGGACCTACTAAGTAAGACATCAAGGAGAAGCTGTGCAAGAGGTCCAAGGATCTAGTCAAGGCAGCAGATACGGTGGCCATGCAAGCTATGTTGGATCTAACACCTTCCAGTAGTAATCATTGTTGAACTTATCGATTTAGTATAAATAATACGAAGTGTTAGGAAAATTTTGTAAATAGTCATCCCTCAAATGTCTCTTTGTTGAACTTACCACCCGTTATTTATTTATTTATTTTTTTTACGAAATAAAAAAACATATAACCCCTAAAGTGAAATTATTAGATAGATATCACAATCAATAATGATTTAAAAGGAGTGTAATGCATGAATAACAAGACTATCCTTTACAATAATGACCATTTATAATCCATTCAAATGAGTGGCATTGAAGCCCTAACAATTGGAGTAAATGGGAGGATTTAAGGCTAAGACGATGTGACCATTGAGCATAACATGAATCATCAGTGAGGTTTGAAGTGTACATATCCATGTCTGTATAATATGTATGTGTGATTGTATGTATAATAAAAATCCCCAGCCATTGAAAACCAAAGTACTACGTAATAAAGTTAAAAGTAAGAAACATGTAAACCAAAACGTTCATCTATTATCATTGACCTCATAAGTTTAAAATCTTGAGTCTTCTCCAAAAAAAAAAAAAAAAAAAAAAATGACAAGGAACATAAAGAGAAGACCCACACGTATCCACATGCCCAGTTTGCCCACATCCCAAATTTCCAACCCACAAAAACAAACATCTTTAGTCTTTACTTTCTCTCTCCTCTAAAATAATAAGCTTAAACCCCCCACCACACACACACCTCCTCTAAAAAAACTTAAATCAAACCCATCAACACAACCCATAACCAACTTACTTATCTCTTTCCCTTTCTCTCTCTTAAAAAATTGTCTCTGATTCTTGAGTTTTTTTTTTTTTTTTTTTTTTCAAATTCTTGCAGTGCCGGTTTTCGCACTGTTCGATTTAACATTTTTATCCCCTTGATTCTTTTCTGCATGTCTTTGTATCTAAATTTTAATCTGAGAATTTAATTTTCTTTTTTTTGTTGTCGTTGAATTTTCACAAATACCCAAAAAGAAAAAACCCTAAAAATGTGAAAATAAAAAACCTGGAAACTAGTACAGTTGCAGATCTGAAAGACAGGAAACCCTTGTTTTTGCAAAAAATCAGTGGGTACTGAAATATTACCCAATTTGGTAAGTCGTATTTTTACAAATGGGTGGGAGGAGTGAGAAATTGACAGAAGAGAGTGAGCACAGAAAGGCAGAAATGGTATATATATACATATATATATATAGCAATTAGCAAACCCAAACCAACACCAGAAAATCATACATTACATTTAATCTCCGAAGTTGAAAACATCGGAAGTCGAGGTTGAAGATTATTGGTATACTATTCCTTTTTTGTGCTCACTGCTCTTTCTGTCAGCTTCCCTTCCAACTCCAACCCCACCCGAACCCCTATCCATTATACGCAACCCTCTCCATTATTATTATCGACTACGAGAGTTAGAAACAGCTCAGGTGGTTAGAGCTTCCCTCCGGATTCTTGGATCCTAAAAATTACTATTGATTACTATTACTAATCAGTAATAACACTATATCCGTATGTTTTTATTTTCCCTTATTTTTTTTTATTTTGATAAAAGAGTTTGTTGTTTTAGTTTGCAAATTCCGATATGTAGCGTGACTTTTGAGGGGGATTTTTAAACTAATCACCTTAATACAGTACAGGACCATGCTAATCAGCTTCATATAGCCTACCTAATTAACATTATTAGGTTACCTTGTTTTTTTTTTTTTTTTTTTTTGCTTGATTCGTTTCTATGTTGTTGGTTGCGCATGGATCATATCGTCTACTCCTAGTAATGGTCCCCGTACATTGGTTCACGGCTGTGCCCGTGCCCGTGTCGATTCGATTACCTTTCGTCTTAATCCAGGCCATCCATGCCTTCTTTTGAGAACAAACTGACATGATCATCTGTCTCTCATTTCCAACTTGTTTGTTACAACAATTTGTTTATTTTTGCAGCTCACCATTTACATGGAACACCAGAAATTGAATTATTCATACTCGAATCGAATCATTGGTATGTATGTATTCATAAATCTACAATTCCTTCTTTATTACTAGTATTCAAGCAATGTGTTAATTCATGAAAAAATACTACTACAAATGTTAATTGTTTTTTTGATCGTGCTATATCTTATGTGTGGATAGTATTAGATTTAGAAGTTATCTAATATTTAAATTGTAATTATTAGTGGAGTATTTTACATATGTGAGAGGTGATTGTCTTGTGGCTTAGACTTTTCCTAATTTAAAACCAAATTTGTTCTAATTATCGTTACCTAATTTGTTACCAATATTTGTTGATTATGTGTTGCACTTTCGGCTGCTGTGTGTCATTATCATATGCTATTTGATCAACTCTATGGTGCTTTAATTTGATTGGAGTTGTGTATATAACATGCATTTAAAACTCGACAGCTCGATTGTTTTTAAAACTAGCTAGCTTAATTTAGTGTCTCATTAGTTGTGGTGATAGACCAAAGTTTCCACTTGCACTATTGCATATGAACTCGTGGTTGTTTGGTGATTGGATAATATTTTGGGGAATTATTAGCGTTGTCTATCTCGTATATTGAAAGAAAGACATGATATGCTTTCCAACTACCAATCACTATTAGCGGGACTAATTGGTTAACAAAAAAATCATGTTTTAATTTCTTGCAGACAATGTACTTGTCAAAGACGGTTAACAAAAAAATCATGTTTTAATTTCTTGCAGACAATGTACTTGTCAAAGACGATTCTTCGTTTCTTTTGCTGATGTGAAAACAAATGAAGGTGAACATCATTTTTAGAACACTTGAATATAATTATGTGCATGGCCCTTAGAGTGCTAATCGCTTCAGCAGGTACGTGGATATAGACATACTCTTTCTACTACTCGTAATCCTTCATGTGATTGATAGTTATAGTCTTATAGACCAAACTTTACAGCTTGGCTGATGGTGCATTTTTTTCTTTGTCTCTTAATTGTCATGTGTATATTGTTGTTTTGTTTAGATTTATATCAAATTAGCTGCCTTCCTTTGACGCTTGCTAATTTAAATGATTGAATGAATAACCTAGTTTGTTTGACTAGGTAGTATAGATGTTTTGAGATGAAGCATTTTCCAGTATATATATATAAGCACCCTTTGTAATTGTCTTGGATCCAAGCAAGTGATTTTATTTGGTGTATTGAAATACTACAAGTAAAAACTTTTGATTCATTTTTTTTCTCAAAAATACAGTTTTATAAAGTATTATATATAGTATATACTAGAAAATTTGCATGCAACTATATGAATGATTCGATATAGAGTATTGATATTATTATTAAGCAAGATCATGTTTGGTAGGTCTTTCCTTCGACCCTTTTTATTTTCCTACGCTCCTACAGCCAAAACTTATTTGTGCTCTCCATCATTGGATTGCTGTTTTCCCATGTTCTTTGATTAACATCCTCTTTTTCTCCAAGCAACCTTGTTGTTTAGTACACCATGGGAAAGGTGTTTATTTGAGCTTGATGGAAATCAAGGGTAGACATAAAAAGGAGTAGTACTTTTTGATCGAGTTGTAAGTTTAGAGAAAACAAGCTCACAAGGAGTAAAATCAAACTTAGAGCTTTTAGTACTCCCTTTGTTCCATATTTACTAACACAGTCAACTTTGCACATATGCCAACGCAATAGTTTGACTTTATATCTATATAATTAAATATTAATGAAAATTATTTTTAAAATTCTATTATAAAATTGTATATTAATGCCTGTCTAACAATATATTTTATGATAAAATATGTTTTTATTACGTTGGTAAAAAATTATGGTCAAAGGCTCAAAGCTAATACATGAATAGTGAAAAAAGGGACGGAGGGAGTATAAATGGTGAACGAGTATGATAGTATTTATTCCTTATACTATATTATACTTTTGGTTTATGCTTAATTAGGTGCTTTCTTTTGAAGCTTCCTTAACTTTAAATGATTGTATGCAAAATATTTTGGTTTGATACATTTTAGGAAGGCTGTTTTAAGAGTTTGAAGGAACACAATAAAGGAAAGTTTTTTTCTTTATGTTGTTGTATTAGAGAAAGGATTCTGATTATGCTGTCTGTTTACTTTAGAACCTTTTATTCTTCTTTTCTCTTTTCTTTAGTGGTGGGGAAGGTCACGAGAAATTTGTTTTCTTTATACAGACCAGATCCTATGAGGTGTTTTTCTGCTAATTGCATTCATTTCAGCCTGTAACTCATTCTGGATTTTTTTTATAAGATTTATTCAAGATGAAAGATTTATGTGATGGATTTCTTTGATAATTTAATTGTGCTTAATGATGCTAGATTATGGGAGATTGATTTCTTCGATGAATGAACTTGCCTTCCTTTTTATTCAATCGATAACTGGCAGGTGTTTATTGAGTTTATCATAATTGGAGGTTGTCAATTGGTTATCTATAAGGACTATAACCTTCTAAAAGTACATAGACTAGGGCTTGAAATGCTAGTTTTTAGGTATATGGAGAATATTAGTCTTAGGAATCAATTTTGGAGAACATTTGAGCCAAAAGTTTGGTTAGTTAGTGTTTCTTTGACAACTTAGATTTTCATTTGTGCTTTGAGGAGGGATTGATGACAAACATTTTGATTTTAAGGGCAAGTTTTAGAAAAATTTGAAAGGTAATCTTGTGCTAACTAACTCCAATGCATATGTTAGTAACTACAATTAGCTCGCTTTTAAGAAGGAAGGTGGGTAAAGCCTTCATTATTCATAATGGCTTCATTTAACATAGTTGTAAGGTGTAGCGGTATATTAGAATGAAAACTAGCTGTAAAAATAATTAAGCTTCCTATTTTGTACTGTGTATTAGGGAGCCTTCATTGTTTATGTGTAAGCCTTATTGGATGAAAGTGTTAGCTCAAATAGATTAGGCTTTTGGTCATGTTGATAGCCCGTGAATTGAAATGGTGGTATTGTGAGGCTAATTTGATGTCAATCCTTACAATATTTTGTGAGGATATTCTGGTGAGGTATACAATATAAGGCTTTATTCTTAGGAATTTTAAACCTTAGGTTAAAGTTTAGTCAATGATATGTTGAATGAAGAATTTAGTCTTGCTGTCGAATACAAAATATTGGTTTTTTCAGTAGAACATGTTGATGCTCATACTGAGAAGTTTAGTCAAGAATTTAGTCTTGCTGTCGAATACAAAATATTGTTTTTTCAGTAGAATATGTTGAATGAAGAATTTAGTCTTTGCTGGTTGTTGGTTCAATTGGCTGTTTGTAGTTGGCAGTTCTTCTGTTTGATGTACAAGGATGTAGTTGTTGCTTCTATCAGCTGCTGGGCCTTAGCTAAGTTACCCTAGCAATGCGAGATTTAATGGCTGATTATATTGTAAAAGAATGCAAATAGAAGTAGCATGATGATTTATGTATGTGCTTTCTGTTCTTTTCCCTTTTCAACTCTTAATTAGTATCCACTTGACATTATTTTTGAAAGCCAGTGGTGGTGGATGAATTTACTCTTCCCTCTTTTATGGTGTTCGAGGAATGTAAAGCCCCCTATTTTTATATCATAACTGGATGATTAATTTAGCTATGTTTGTTTGTTATATATGTTGTTTTTGCTTCTTTATTTGAACTTACTACAGCTATATGGAATTTGGGACTAGGTGCTCTTTCTTCCATATTCTAATACATTTCATATTCCTTTTATGAAGGTTGTACTATTGCACCATTGTTCTTTTTAAGGAAGTGCTTGCTTTGATCACATTTTGTTATTTTATTATTGGTGCTTTATTAGTGGATTACAAAGCTTAAGATACTTAATTTCCACCATTATGCCACTAAGATTTTGATTATGCTGTGTAATCAATTCATTTAGCAATGGTTAGGGCGTCCCATAAATTTATTCATTTTTGATGATATGGCTGCATGACTCTTGGTATACTACTCATTGAAATCCTGTTAACTTTTTCTGTTTTTGGAGGTCATGATGTTTGCGTAAATTGTGCCATCTGGATAGTTACTACTTTGTTATCCAATTTTTATTTTGTTTTCCTAAATGAGTGGTCACGTTGCCTGCGAGCTATGATTATGTATTAGGGCAATAACTATTATGAACTACCGTTAGCGGACTCTATCTTTATTTTACATTCATGGCTTATTGGCTTACATATAGATCAGATTACTCACCTTTTGTTTGAAGGCCATGCCCTATGACATGACCAAGTAAAATTTGGTTCTGTTTCCTTATATTTCAGTCGAACATTGTTTCATTTGCTAGACTTCCACATTCCATTATATTGAGATTTGTTAATAAGAGAAGAGCTTTATCTTAAATTCCTAATGTTGCTTTTGATTGAATTATGTAGCAAGGGTGTTAGATATATATGCCATTAGAAATTAAGAAAAGTTTTTGACATGGTATTCTTCACAATTGCCTTATTAGTTACGCTGTTAAATGAGCTTATGCAAGCTAGAGACTCCTGATTACAGGTCTAAGTCTCCTTACCTCCGGATAAATAATACTAGGAGTTCTGGTCCTTTTTACAGGCTGCTTAACTTATTGTTGCTTAACCTATCTGGTCCTTTTTGCAGGTTTGCTTAACCAAATAGTAGGACATTTTCATTCTTCCAAAGTTCTTGTTTGGTATATTCTCTGGTGCTATGAAAGAGTGTGTTATGTTTTTAAAATTACTTGAAATGAAATCATGCACAATGAAATAGATCCATGATTGTGTATTTTAAATTACTCGAAACACAAACACAATGACCATTGAGACAAAGCCTTGTATTATTAAGACCTGCCTAAATATTGGGATTGCAACATATCTTATGGTAGAGATGCTTCTTGGAGCTCAAGATATATTAGTTGATTATATAATAATTAGCTAGGAAAACACACTATTAGATTCCATTAAGTAAAAAAAGCATCAATTCCTTAAACTAATAGCTCCATTAACATCAGTAAGACGCCCCGTTAAATTGATTGCCCTAGCTAGCCTACCAAATAGACATACTCTAGTTGGATATTCTCCCGGATCTTGTTACAAGAGAAAGGATAAGATAAGGTTTTTTTATTTGGTCAAAATTTGATTGTGGAAGTTGGTCTCCTATGTTTTTTGAGATGTAGTTGTATATTGTTTTTTTGATTTTGATGGTTAATAATCTTCTCTACCTTGATCCAAAAAAAAAAAAAAAGTGGGCATGCAACATTGCCAACTAGCCAATCTAAAGATTTATTAATAAAAAAGTGGGCCCTTATTTTATTTAATACTGTTATTTATTATTGTATTTTTTGTGTGAGGTGACTTTTATTTGGTTAGATATGGGACATTAAAGCATTACATCAGGCCACTAGCTGGTGTTAGGTCGTTACCTTACTACTAGTGGGGTTAATTCATCTTCTTGGCTGGGTAGGGTGTTGTTTCAAGTAATATTTATGGCGGAAAGAGAGCCGTGCTTCGATCGTGCCATTTTAATTTGGTCTTTTAATGTGTGCACCACCATATCTTTTCGTAAGCAATGGATAGGGCACTATAGCTATACTTGTCAATATTGCACATTCTAATGATCACAATTGGAATGTTGTTTTCTTTAGCTAGGGTAATTTTGTGACTTCTTAAATTTGCCTGGCCTATTATAAGTAAGGTTTACTAGAAGTATATATCTTACTTGAATTAGCCACTTTTCTATCTTGTCTAGTGCTTTGTTTGGTAGTTCTGCTGGTTTATCAAATTGGTTGTTGGTTTTGATGATTTACTTTCATGTCTTTTAACTCTTCAACTCAAAATCTCGAGGCTACCGAGTAGAGGATAAACCGGTAAAGGTCTAGCACTTAGTTGCTAAATAGGTGGTAGAACTTCAAAATGTAGTTCTATTAGGTGTTTCTTCTTCTTCTTCATTCATCTATGACTCCAAAATTCAGATAGAAAACACATTAGATTGAGCTCAGCTCGTATTATCTTATAGTACGTACAAGGCAATTGGAAACTGCCTAGATTTGATATGTATATTATATTTGAATTCCGCTCATATTCCAAGTAATACAATGTTCTATTTGGATCTTATAGCTGTTTTAGAAGGTCTTAATTGCTTGCTGTACTATATTGTGTATACTTTTTCATACAATAGATTTTGGAGTTCTTGATTTGACTAAGTTAAGACAGTATTATCCCTCAAAAAAATAAAAAATAAAGAAAAGGTCCGTAGTTAAGACAGTATTTACTCCAAATTCTAATTAGTTAATTATACAGTTATTATGGAGAATATGATGTTAAAAAAAAAAAGTGTTTCTAGTTGGTATTTGCACTCTTATCTTATCTCTCTTGCTAAATTGGTTACAGCATGTAATCATGTATTCATTTTAATGATTATTTATTCATTATGTAGAAATAATTTTTATTTTATTTTTATATTTTTTTAAGTGTTTTGTATAAAATGAACTTCCCTATACAATTCCATTAACCTGTATTGACACATTTTTTCTTCAAACAACTATTATTACAGCAGCTAGACTAAATTAGTGAAGCAGGCAATACAAAAGCATCAAAAGCTAGTGACTAGATACTACGACAACTAGTTTTGCTGAACAGACCCAAACCCGGACTTTATTAATCGCTACTTGTTAGTGGAACTACACAATTTGAGACTTAAAAGAGGGGTACACATACCTGTGAGAGCCAGTTATCAGATGGATTTTTGTTGTTATCATCAGTGTACTTGAATAAATTGTGTGCCAGAATGATTGAAACAGCCAAGTTTCTTTCTTCTTCACTCATTTTTTTTCTCTCCTTGTTTTCTGGAAGAGAAGTAAATCTTAATTTAATTTGAATTATCTTGATTCAGTTCTATCTTTTTATTTTTTGGGAGTATAAAATGTAGCTAGTATTCTGCTCTCTCTACTATTTGTTTTACAGTCTGTTACTTTATTATAAAATTGTGTCATGGAACACTCAATGCTGTCAAGTCTTAGTCTTCCATGTGGTTTACGGTGATACACAACATCTAGTTATTTTGACAAATTAATTTGTCAATTTTGAATATAGTCGTATAGATCATAGATAGGTGTATGTGTATTTAATTTTCTTGTCTTGCTGAGTTGCTGTTTGTATAGTGTATTGGCAACGCCCAAGGGCCTGTTCATGCCAGGCCATGGTAACCTCTAACCTATGGTATATATGATTCGTGCTCAACTCGTGTCCTTTTTTAAGGAGTTTTATAAATAACATCTAGTTTTTTTGGCCATGGAGTCATGGACCATGTAGTATTATTGTAAGTTTGTAACCATATAAATAAAGATCATTAAAATACACTCCAATTTAAGGAGTTTTATAAATTCTAACACCGAGAATGACCTTTCTAGCAACTCGACATTGAGGTCCTTTCAAGGGATGATTCTATATATGGTAGTCATCTTAGAAATGACTATCATTATACTACTCTGTAATTTTTTATTTGCTGATTTTGATTTTTTTTTTTTTTTTAATGTCAAAATTAACTTCACGTATTTATCCGCAACAATTTGTCACAGGGCTGTCCATAATTAAACTTTTAACAAAGTTGATAATCATGAGATTGTTGCCTTCAATATGTATGTTTTTATGCCTTGGTCGGTAAATAGCGAGGAGGATGCCCTTGTGTAAAGCATATGGTGGTGCATGCATGAATCGTATATATTTACAATTAATAATACAATAAACACACCATATCTATACTCTATAAAAATGAGAATGGAAACTGGAAAGTCACTGTTTTAAGGTCTGGCTCTTTAGAGCTGCTTTGCTCCATCTGCTGACACTTGCTCTGCTTCGTCAAAATCCACAATATTGTAAAATTATAAAAAGTGCATATTAGTAAAATATACATTGAGACGATCCAAATAAGTTCCTACATGACTATGTTTTATCGTAGTTATTAATCACAAAAGCTAATCAAAGTGCAATATGTGAAAAGTGTAAAAGTCAAACGGTGTCAACTATAAAAATCGGATGAAGTATGAATCATGATAGACTATTTTACCTCTTTTTTTAAATCACTTTTACATTTTTGCCCTCCCCTCTTATGAGGTTTTTATTTTATTTTCTATTTTTTTTAAATAGTGCTTTTTTTTTATCGATAAGAAAAGTAGTGTTTACTTCCCAAAAAAAAAAAAAGTAGTGCTCGGTCTTTTAATTTTGTATCCCTTTCTTGTTATCACTCTTCCATTTTTGCCCTACCCTTTTCTTTTTGAAAAAAATAATAATTACTTTATTATATATTATTGATTGAAAATAAGGTAGTTTTAATTTATTTTACTACACTACAAGATATTATATCAAAGAGGGCAATTTAAATCGCCCTTTTAGGTTCAAATTTTGCCCTATTAGGCAAAGAGGGCGATTCTAAAATCGCCTCCAAGTCACCCTATTAGCTTCAAAGGGCATACAAATTTTTCGCCCTCTTTGTTAAGTATCAAAGAAGGCAAAATATTTCGCCCTCTTTGATCAAAATCAAATAGGGCAAAATTTTCGCCCTCTTTGATTGAATCAAGTAGGACAAAAAGTTTTTGCCCTGCGTAATCAACTCAAACAAGTCAATTCATATTGCCCTCCTTGCTCAAAATTCGCCCTGTTTGATCATATTTTAAAAGGGCAAAATCAACACCGCCCTCTTTGTTCAATTTTTCGTTTTTAAAAAAAATAATTCTAGGTGCTAATAGGTATAAATTTTCTATAATACTTCCTCCGTTTTTTATTACTTGACCCGCTTTGACTTTTACACTATTCACCACCCCTCCTTTGACCGTCTTTTGTGAATAATATATTAAGATGTAAGGAAAAATATATTCATGTATGATCTTTTTGGATTCGTCTTAATAAGTACTATTATAATATATAACTTTTATAATTTTTACTTATAGAGAATTTAAGTTATTGATCGTTAAAGTTTTGCATTGGCAAACGTGAGAAAAGAAACAGGTCAAGTAAAAAAGAACAGAAGAAGTAGGTGCTAATAGGCATAAATTTTAATTTTGTCATTATATGTATATACAAAAGTATTATATTTAATAATATTTAATAGCAAATATATACAAAAGTATTAACCAAGTTGTCTATCAAGCAATCTTCTCATCCTTGCAACCAGCCTTTAGGTGTCCTCCATCCCCAAAACATTGACATGATCCCCTAATTGCAAACTTGACAAAAAAAACAAGAGTATTATTCTACAATATTCATAACAAGAGTATTATCTACAAAAAAAAACACAATATACATTGCTCTCAGACGAGTAGTTCCAAGACAGAGCATATAGGATTTCGTACGTAACAAAACACACATAGTTACGGTCACAAGCCGAACTTGCAACTGCATACAAGATCAACTGAAATGAAATCAATATTAAAAAGGGGTGTACGAGTTAGGACCTGTTCTGTTCCGTTGAAATTCACTTCAGTTCAGTTTAGTTTAGTTCAGTTCAGCTCAGTTTAGTTCAGTTCAGTTCACTTCAGCTCAGCTCAGCTCAGCTCAGTTCAGTTCAGTTCAGCTCGGCTCTTAATTTATGTCTAATGATATTGCTAATGATATAAAGCCAAATTTCACTCTTTTAAGATCTTATTACAACGACAACAACATCAAAAATAATAATAATAAATAGTATATAATAATAATAATAATAATAATAATAATAATAATAATAATATTAACAACAATAATAATAATAATAACAATAATAATTGAAATAATAATAATAATACTACAATAATAATCAATAAATAATAATAATCATCAATAAATAATAATAATAATAATAATAATAACAATAATAATAATACTATAATAATACTAATAATAATAATCAATAAATAATAATAATAATAATTATCAATAATTAATAATAATAATAATAATAATAACAATAATAATATTGATACAATTCATTGTTCAAATGGTTCTATTTTTTTGAAACATATTTCTAATGTTAATCTCATTGAGAAAATTAGAGGTTTCAAGTTTTTAATATATTTTCCATACATTTTATAATATATTTTCCATACATTTTATAATTATAATTATATAGTATATTTTTCGTAAATATTTTAATATGTACATTTGTATATATACACATATGTATAGTAATAAATATCAATAAATAATCAATAAATAATCAAAGATCACTAATCCGTAGTTAAAAATCACTAATTAATAAGTTCAGTTCAGTTCAGCTCGGTTCAGTTCAGTTCAGTTCGGTTCAGTTCAGCTGAGTTCAGTCAATCGAAACAGGCCCTTAGTCGAGTGCATTTCTAATATTGCCCCCCTCTGTTTGCAAGTGATGGCACCCACTGATAATTCAATTCTTTTATTCAAGCAGTAGATACTTATTAAACGACTCATTCATTCAATCAAATAAATGTCTAAGGAAAAAAAGGATTAAAATAAGCACTTTGACAATATAAAAGTCGAAATCAAGATATAATAAGTACTTTGACAGTATGTTCATGTTTTCAGACCACCTAATGTATGTGCCTTCAATTTAATAGCATAATTCAAGTAGAACAAAAATTCCGATCCGAAGCTAATTACATGCATACTTATTTCATTTACCAGAAGTTAGGTCTACAGAGTTTCTAATGATATGATTTGATGTATGATACTTATTTAATGCAATCAAGGTAGGCAAACTAAGATCCAAAGAGGCCAAAAAGAGCCAAAAGTCAGAATATTCATAGTCCAAAGGGTACTGATCATATTCTTAGTCCACAACACAACAGTCTGCAACACTTCATGCAACCAAAACAATGTTATGCCATATATACACAAGAATTTCACGTTTAGTACCATGTATACACAAGAATATTGAAATTCAAGGAAACATTCATGGCTTGAAAATATTAGCTAACATAACCATGGCTTGAAAATGCATCCACAAGGCAATTTTATGCAAAGAGTGAGCTAGAAAATATTACCTCTATTAAGCATCAAGGCCAATCTTCTCCATGACTAACCGAAGCTTTTGTTCTAGGTCTTCTTGTTTCTTCTTAGACGCTTCCAATTCAGCTCGCATCATATTATTTTCATATTGTAGTTTTTCAACATTTTGTTCCAGCTCAGCTCTTCCTATCTTTCCATATTTAGACGACACCGGGTGCACTTTGCCTAAACCTCGGGCATAACCTGAACGATGTCCACGAACCTTCACATAAGCTTCTTCAAGAGTAAGATTATCAATCCCCTTTTCACCAATTTCTTTCTCATGCAACTCCCTTAATTCCTTGAACTTCTCCTCGGCCTCATCGTCAAGCTTCCCATTTTTATACCTTACAAGATAAAACAAAGTCAAAATTTTAAAATAAAGAAAAACAAAGTGTTCGTGCATTAGACAAATATTCAATATACCTATTTGACTTCTCCCATAACTTTAAATACATGGGATCATCATTAGCTTGGGATGAGGTGGTTACATTTGAACAAGAACCATTGATTTCAGTGACCTCATTCTCATACTCACAAGCTTGTGCCTCAAGTTCCTATCAAATCACATACATAAACTTATTAATTTTAGCAAGATCAATCCATTTAGGAAGGTATTTCTGTTTTCTAATACAATCCATTTCAGATAATATGTTAATATAAAACACAAAATACATAATCCTACCATCTAAATACAGATGCAGACGCTCAAATTAAGCCAAAATGATACTAGTACAGGCTACAGGGATTAACAATTCTACATGCTACATTATGTTTTAACAATATGTGACTTCTTAGCAATATGAACATGCAGCGTATAAATGGATTAGCAACAGTTGAGCCTGGAAACAAAAATATAAAGGTTAAAAAGATTCACTTTTTTCAGAAATGTTAGCAAATGGATGGATCAGACTGCTATTATACAGAAGCTTTAAGTGGCAAATAAACCGAGTAATGACAATCTTTGTTTCACCTCATCAGAAGATCAAGGAGAATACAGTCAGCAGAGCTTCACAGTCACAACTCACATAGACAGATAAAACAGCTAAGACAGAGACAAATTCAGCAAAGACAACTTCTACAGACTTAATTTTAACATTTATACTCACCAATTCATAAATAATGCGAGCTGTTGATTTCGCACCACATGCCGACTTGATCTTCTTTGCAAAAGCATTTGCCCGATTCTTCTCACTCCTTTCCTAAAGGTTACAAAATAGCATATAGGATTAGTAAAGGGGAAGAAATGCCAATTGCAGAATTTTGATTACAAGAGCATTCCCATTACTTACCTTCTGCTTAGGAGAGCTCCAATAGTTATAAACAAGCCACTTCCATTGGTCAAGTTTTATTGAAGGTGGGCAAGCACGCTCTGCCTCTTATAAAGATTTTCTATTTGAAAAATAGTCAGCTTTCAACCTTTCTCTCCAATGCCTATAAAGGGTGGAGCATTGAATCTTTATTGCTTTGTGAATGTGTGCACCTTCATCCAATTCGTACTTTGACTACGAGAATATTTAAATTTAGTGATATGAACCTTTTAATAGCAAGTGTTTGTCTAATAATTACCAAAAAAAAAAAAAAAAACTAGTAGAAAACAAGCATAAAGGAATAAAAATGGCCTGTCAAACAATACCATCTGACATAACACCATGTAACAGAATAGAATCATGCAACTCAAGATTATATACCTTAATCCTTGCATATAATCGATCTAAAATACCTTCAGGCATATCACTCCATTTAGAAACATCAAGGGGGCAAATCTCCTTCACCCAATAAGCACACTCAGCAACAAATTGATTTGTACGCTCACCCACAACAGCTCCTAATGCTGGAGGAATATTAACCTTGAGCTTTCCGGGTTGAATGCTTCACAACTTTTTATACTTGAGTGCTCTACATGGACCACGAAATGGACCTAATTGAAAATACATTACACAAATCAGCTAGAAAACAAAACTATAAATAGAAAACAAAATAGAAAGTAGAACACATTACCGTTTCTTTTCTTAGGTTGTTGAGAGGTCGACCCTACAAACTCATTATTATTAGGGACTTTCTAATTTAATTGTTAGGTTGTAGATATTAACTAACAATTATTTACCAAAAGATAAAGTATTGTGTAGAACGGATTCATGTGAGTCCGGTCATACAAACAGGAAAAAAAAAATTTCTCAAAAATTAGATGATAATAGTTAGATATTAGATTATAAATATAATAAATTAGGTTATAAGTGTCAGAAATTAGATAATAATGGTTAGGTAATACGTTATATTTATCTGGTATTAGATTATAATTGTCATATATTAGGTGTTAATTGTCAGAAATTAGATTATAATAATTAGATATTAGATTATAAATATCAGAAATTAGGTCATATATGAGATTAGGTTATATATATATATATATATATATATACTACCCCCGTTTCTATTTAGTTGACACGTATTTCTTTGTAGGAAGCTTTTTTAGTTGACACATTTTGTTTTGGGGTAAATTTTATACCTTACATTTATAAGCTACCTCACTTGCTTTTTCATTCTCTCTCACTCTCTCTCCTCTCCTTAATATGTGTGCCTAAATCAAACGTATCAACTAAATAAAAACGGAGGAAATATTAAATAATAGGAAATTTTGACAATTACCACCTTCTGTTATGTCCATTTTAGCAATTACCACCTTCTATTTTTTTTTTTGAAAATTACCACCTTCTATTTTCAAAAACATCAAAAGTTACCACCTTCTTGCCTCCCAACTACCACATGACATCATTTTGGGCTCATTCTTTCCCATTCCTCCCTATTTCCCTCACATTTTTCATTCCTAACTCGATTATCATCCCCCCTTTTGCCAATTTCGCCATTCCAGCTTACGTTTGTATGGTTGTTCAACATTGTCTCAAACCATCCACTCCCCGATCTTTGCATTGACAAGATTGCAAATGGCCTGACTGGATTGCATTCACATTCTTTGCATCAGCTATGACGACAATGACATCATTGCCGACGTCGTCAAATATTTTAGCTCCATCGGGGGAATATTGAGGTGGTGGTTTAGGGGGAAGAGGAAGGGTGATGGCAGTGGGTAGGTCGGAAATGGCGGCATCATCGCCGGCGTGGAGGGGGTGGCTGATTCTGGGTTGTATGCGGCCGCAGGGGTTGCAGTTTGTGATAAGGGGGTGCGTTATAAACTGGGCTCGTGTGAAACGGACTCACACAAAACCTTCTCATTAAAGAAGGAAGATGTCTTATCTCAAGAGCCAAGAGATATGAAGTACAGAGGTATAGATTTTCTATAGAAATAATTTATTTGTTCCTCTAAAATTTTTCATGACAAGGCTTAAGTATCTTCCCAAGTAGGGGACCAACCCCTTAATCACCAGGTTTAGCCAAAGTTGTCTTGTGGCCTTGGTCCTCAAAGTTGTAAGGACTAAGGAGTATATTATATTATATTTTACTTTGTAGTATTATAGGGAGAGTATGTAACAAATCCCAAAAAAACTCTTACTTGTTTAGATGTTTGAAAAAGCAGTCAAATATTTGTTAAAGTATAATACTTATGATGGTTTTTTTTTCTTTTCAAAATACCATTATTAAGATTAGTAGTGATTAGTGAATAGGGAGGGAATGATCCAACAATTATCATGTGTTTCTTCTTACTTGGTATACATGGAATGAAACCTAAGCTACACTTACCATCTAATCATCATTTTGGATGAAATATAATAATGCAATTATCCTTTGGGCGATAAAGATTATGACAATAGTGATCCACACAAACCTATTTCTACTTTCGCTGTTGGTTCAAGATTCAACTTTAGACTACAAAGAAGGCATAAATATTTGACGGAAAAAGAATATTAAATCAATGTGAAAATACACTAAACTAAAAAGTATTTTGTATAATTTTATACAAGCAAGTGTAATTTTTTTTATCCCTTGCAATTGCGAATGGGAAAGCAAGGGGGTGTCAACTGAAAAGGAATCACCTTTTTTAGTGAGTGCATTGATAATTTGATTAAAGTTAGCTAAATATAAAAATGGATTGCTTAATCATAATTAAAATTAATTAAGGGAGTGAATAGTAATTGTCTGCATGTTTGGGACATGTCTGAGGTACAACGACACTTTACAAAGAGTGGCTTTCGGTATTATTGAGAGGCCAATCAGCAACCAGAAAAGCATAAACCATTTCAAATTATTTTTTTAAAAAAGGTAACATTTCACATAAATAAATAACATAAACATAATAATGGTCCATATAGTATATTCAAAACAGGAAACCGTGCACTTATCTTAATTTAATTCTCTAGGTTGTAGGCTCTTATCTTATTTCGTGGTCCTTCAAGAAAAGGGTTGTTTCTGTTCTTTATTATAATTGTATATGGTGTCCTATACTTTTATAGGTTTTGTGGTCCTAAATGAGTATGGTAGACTCGAGGTGAAAGGGTTTGATTTTCCTAAAACCTAAACCATCTGAACTAATGATTTAATTAATTTGAAACTCAATCTATACAAGAAGCACATGAGTCGATCTGGGTACATATTTATATATGGAGTATATAATGTATGAGCATCATATCATACAACATAGGGTATTTTGGTCAATTTCTGTGAAATTTTAAATTTAAATAGTATATTTTGTGTACCATTAGAGTATTAGACAATTAGTATCATTGATATATACCTAGTCCATTAAACTCTATGTATTATAGTACTAAAACAATAACATGATATATTTATACCATCAGAAGGTATTTTACTTCCATAACACTATCTAATTATAGTACTAATAAATCTTTATTCACTTAATGATATCTTTACTTACAACTAGGGCAGCTAACTCGCATGATGCGCGCGCATATATATTTAGAAGTTTTTTCAGTTTGATCTTAAATTACAAACTTAGTTGTTGATATGTAAACAACTATTTTCAGAGGTATAAATATTGTCTTTAAAAAAATGTTTAGAGATATAAATGTCTAAGAAGGCAACTAACATTAATGAGAGAAAACGAGTAAATAAACTTAAGTATTAGTCCAAATTTTTACGTGCACCATGGTACGATCCTTAAAGATGGCAATGAGCCCGAAACCCGACATGGCCCAACATAAAAAAAGCACAGCACAACGCGTATGGATCGTGGACCTCCTTAAGCACAATAAGACACAGTACGATCGATCAGACCTGACACGACAAAGCATGTTAAAATCAATGCAAATTTGCTTAGGCACGCAAGCCCGACACGATAGCATGTGGGCTTGGGCCGTGCAAGACACAACACAGAACTCGTGGGGCGAGCCAAGTGCAGGGCCTATCTAACCCAAAGCACATGGGCCTGGCACGAGGCACGACCCTGCACGGCACAGAGCCATCTTTAATAATCTTTATTAACTCTTATAATTTATTTTCTTCGTCTTTTGATTAATTTTACAAATCACAACATAACCTACTTTTTGTACTTTCTTTCTCTTTCTTTCCTTATACCCCTTAGTCCCTTACTCTTTCTAGCAATGAATTATTTTTGAGAAAATATATTCATCTAACATTACAAGCAAAGACTCAGACATTAGTCTACTGTGTCATTCTTAAAAAAAGGACACCATAACATGCTGATGTGGCATGTTATGATTGGTCAATTTTTTTCTTTATTTTTAAAAGTTAAAATGTTTTATACATATATGTATAATTGGATGTACATGTATTTTTGTTAATATTACATAATTATAGTATTTGAAAATGTCAGGGCCTATTATTATGTATAGTGTATAGTTAACGGGCCTAATTCATGAGCCCTAATCTCTTGTATATATACTCTACTCATACTCTAATACAAACAACGGAAAATCATTTTCGTGACATGGTATCTAGGGATGTCAATGGGGCGGGGCGGGGCGGGGCGGATGTTGGCCTTCCCATCCCCATCCCCACCTAATATTTTCATCCCCATCCCTATCCCCGCGGCGGGTCCAATTTTCATCCCCATCCCACCGGGTACAACTCCAAAACCATCCCCGCCCCACCCCCCTACTTGGATATCCATCCCCACCTAATAATCCCCACCAAAGATCCACCTAATCCCCACCCAAGATCCACCTAATATTTATATCTCAAATACACAATCTTACATAATTAATATGAATTATAAAATAAAACAATCTATACACATTTTTTTGTTATAATATAAGTGTCGTACAAAGTATTATAATTAATATTGTATTTCATGTAATTATTTTATAAATAGCATAAAAGTATGTAATTTTGCTTTAAAAGATATATAGATGTGGGTATGAGGTGGGGATGGGGCGGGTACGAAGTGGGACGGGGATGGGGCGGGTACAACTTAAAATCCACCCCCGCCCCATCACCCATGGCGGGTATGGTTTTTATCCCCATCCCTGCCCCACCACCCGCCAAACCGAGACCCATCCCCGCCCCATTGGGGCGGGGATGGAGCGGGTCTCCTACTTGACCCGCCCCACTGACATCCCTAATGGTATCGAAGCTAAATTCATTCTAATCTCTAAAATTAATTTCTATTTTCTACACTCTAATCCCTAAATTAATTTCTATTATAATCTCCTTAATCAATTTCTGATTTTTTTTTTCCAATCAATTTCTACGATCAATCAACTCAATTTCTATTTGCTGTTCTGAATTGAATTTTGGGTTTGTTCCCAATTCAATTTCTATTTGCTATTCGCTGAGGTGTGCTTCGTTGTTCTCTGGCTGCTACTTCTTTGCTACTCCTTCTTGATCAATAATGGTGATTGACAATACCTTGATGTCTTCTTCTATTTTCGCATCCACTTATAAATTCCTACCTAAGCACCGACGCAAATCGCACTTATATTGCACCCATTGTAATCGGTCGGGTCATGACTACGATAGTTGCTTTCTCGTTCATGGCCTCCCTGACTGGTGGCTGGCCAAATATGGCCACCACGACCGCTCAGTTGCCGCTTCTACTGCTGCTAATGCTCTGCCTAC